ATGTGGGGGTTTTGCAGCCACTCAGTTCTGAAAGGTTGTCAGTAAATTTTTTTAATACCTCTTAGAGGGAAGCAAAAGCAAAGCAGTCTAAGAAAAATAAGTAGTCATCACAGAATAAAGGCATAAAATAAAAGATGATTAGTTTGCTCCCACAGAAATGGTCAAATACAACTTGACTGGCAGCAACACTGATAAGGTGCATATGGCATTATCCTATCCTTATAAGAAAAAACCTCTTGGTATATTATGTACTGCTCCTACAGTTGGTAAATATAGTAAAGGATCTAAGTGATGGTTTTATTAAATGGAGAGGGATGCAACATTTGATCACAGATTTGGTTTTTTTCTAGTAACAATGGGTATATTTAACAGATAAAATATAGCACATAGATAGATGTTTTAGAATCAGTAGGAGTTTTGCCTGGATGCAATATCTGGGGGCAGATGGATGGCAGAGGGGCAAACCACCTGCAGTGTAGTTGGATGGACACATTTGTACAGAGGAGAAACAGAATACAGGTGTACTGCTAGCCTAGGGCAAGTATGCTTGGGATGAAGGCTGCTGAAAACTGAGGTTTTGGAGACTGGGTAGACACTGTCAGATGTGAGACAAGGTGTTGCATCTTTGTCCACCATGGACATGGCAAGGCTACCATTCTCTTCATGTACTCAAAGACTTCAGTAATTCCCCACTATACATCATGAGAAAATATCCCATATCTACCTCTGTTTTTGGAGAGAATTATTTTTGAGATCAAATATTAGTTCTGTTATAAAATTTGGAACTTGGTTATTCACCTTGATATAGTAAGCCCAATGCTTAATACAGCTAATACAGAGACAAAAATTTAAGGAGACACTCTTCAGAGGAATTAAAGGAAAGGTTCAGTAGTTGACTGACATAAAATCTTCTAGCTAGGAGCAAGGTAATAATTTGATGGTATATAGAAAGAGAGAAGGAAAGAAATTGTAGAAAAAGTGAATATAGTTTTTTATCTAGGCAATCACAATGCTTTTTTAAAAAAATCTAATAATTACACCAATAATTGAAACTGAATTGCTTAAACTATTGAAAATACATATAGAAAGATTGGAATCCACACTGCAGTTGAGGGCAGTGTAATCACGAAGCTTCAGTCACATTACTGCTCTCAAAATAGCTTCTGCCATCTCCTCAGTAGAGATGAACCTAATTGTACCCTACTACAATCCCTGTTTTCAAAATGGCTATTTCCTCATGTTGTTTCCATGTGACAGAAATCAAGCTGATCCTGAGATGATGATGTCCCCTAATGCTTTCAGAAATTGCAGAGGACCATATCTCCAGGACATAGAGAAATCTCCTCACAAGTCCCCAGACAAGTAATAGTTACCTTGAAAAACTAAAGGGCAGAGAAATTAAAATTATCAGGAACATGTGGTGCTACAGATCCTTAATTTTAGAGAAAGAGAGTAATTTTTACACTTAGAATTGAAACATTCTGATCCTTTGCAGTGCAGCTAAATATAAAATCCCTACCAGACACATCTAAACCATGTTCTCTTACATTGCTTATTTAAATATTTACCTGACTAGAATCTGTAATTTGAGTCGCATAACTATCAGCGCTGTCAGTTTTATGACTGAATGTAATAGGGAAATGGAGAAATCCAGATCAATAATAATAATAATAATAATAATAATAATAATAATAATAATAATAATAATAATAATAATGATAATAACAGCAACAATAACAATCTACAAAATAACATTTCATAGTTAACACATTTCAGAGTGAGAATTCCTACAGACAGCCTACTGGAGGTAACAAACATCCAGACTCATCTCTGAAACAATGTATTTAGCAGCAAGTGGATAAAATGGGGGTAAAAGCCAAGAACAACAGAATTTTGAGGTAACATTTAAGTTCCAAACAACATTTTGATTCGTTTTTCATCACTGCAAGTCTATTAAAAAAAAAAAAAACCAAAACAAACCACAAACCCAGAAGATGGCTAGTTTTGCTTAACTGTGCTCTAACTAACTGGAGACAGTATTTTTGGTAAGCATAATCTAAATGATGGTTCTGAAATGATGAGACCGTTTAGACAGATGTCTGATTCTCTATGGACATTTCTTCTCCAGGAAAAACAAGAAAGGCCTGCAGCCTTAACTGTCTTTTATGAATTTATGGTGGCAGAACTGTCCATCTTGATTAGTGTCATCTGTCCTTTTAGAAAAATATCAGTAGCTGTAAGGCTTTCAAAGATAAATTATCTACGTGAAGGGATGATTCCATGTTGACCTACTGATTTTTTTTTTTTTTAATTACTTAAGTGCAAATGAAGATTTTCTCCAAAAAATGCAATTATATTTACGACTTCCATAAAAACTATCCACTAAAAATCTGAAAGCACTAAATGTTACTACATTTAATACCCCACAGACTGTCCCTAAAAGTCATAAGGTCTTCCTAAAAAAAGCTAACTTAAAATGAACTGACAACGCAAAAACGTTATTATTGCAGCTGTTATACTTGGGCAGAATCACCAAAGCTGTCTTGAACCAGAGTTAAGGAAGCGGAACTCACTGAAGTGGAGCAGTTTTCAAATAGCAGTAGATCTGCCCATTGCAGAAGTATTGCAAATGTGAAATAACATAGTAAATACACCCAGTTTTAGAAAAAAAGACAAGAATAACAATTGTCAAATAACTTTCTCATTGGTTCAGCACCTGTAGTTAAATAATATAGCCAAAATTCTTTTCACAGAAAGTGATCCTACCAACAGACCACTGCAGAGGATATATGACCATCTGTAAAAACTCTAGCTCACAAGTTCAGGCTGGTAATACAAAGTACCACACGCACACTCAGATGCTTACATGTAACAGTTCTATGTCACTTTACATGTTGTTTCTTTCCCTATGCAAATGCAGTAAAATAAATACATTAACAGTAAGATGACATGAATAATATATTAAATGATATAGGGATAAGCGTGCATAATGTGGATGGTAACACATTAATTCCTCCTGCTAGCAGAGAAACATACTTAAGTTACTCTAGGCAAGGAATGACAAATGAAATGCCTGTGTATTCTTGGTAATGCAGGAGAGACCATCACCTTCTGTCTAGAAATTACGTGAATATAAAACATAAGAGATTAGCACAAGCTCTTCCTGCTCTGTTTGACTAGTTACTCTCTGTTTCTACAAAGAGATAAAAGAACAAAGGATCTCATAATACAGGAGTTTTGAAGGACTACAGGGCAAAAAAAAAAGAGAGAGGAACAAAATCTATTAATTACAGATTTTCATCAGCCCTGGAATTAGAAGCCCCTTCTTCTTTGAAGGTTCTAATTCACTGAAAGCAATAAGTACTAGTGCTACAAATATGAAAAGAGAATGTAAAACTGGGTTAAAATGACATTATAGTTTTCCATGTAACACTCAACCACAGAACAGCTGATGTTCTTTTAATAATTTAGCTCTCCACATACTGTCCAGCCATGGCGCCCAGTTGAACAGAAGAGGGTAAATTAACTTAAGCTCTTTGCACCTCCTGTGAAAATAGCGTGCTTAAAAATCTGTGGATGAAAGAATGCAAAACAGAAACATAATTCAATGTTTTGATTTTTAAGCTTCCTAACTTCCAAAACCTTTATTTCTGCATTTTTTTCATTTACAGAAGTTTGTAAAAAGCATTCAAAACTAATAAAAATAATTCAATGGTGTGAGTTGGTTGCATTAAGTGGGCTATTTCAACAGCAGCTATTTATATTTGAAAATTCGGTATTTTCCATTATGAGATAGCCTACAATAAATGAGCAATCATTGCTCAAGCTGTGCTTCTCTAAACAGTAAACCGAAAAAGCCAAATATAATCTCATTTTATGTCTTCAGCAGCTGACATCCTATGGAATTTGTGGTACGTACTGAGACTAAGCAGAAATACTTTTAGCTTTCACATGTATAACTGAAGGGATGAAAGTACCTATATGTAGTTCTGACTTTGTGTTGGTATAACAGGATACATAAACTGAAATAAATATTTATTAATTTAAACTGATTTACATTGTTGGCTGACTTTTATTCTTACATTGAAAGGAAATACAAATATTATTCATGTCTATAATAATGAGATAATAATGAGTTGAATTATTGTACAGGCATCAGTTTTATATACTTTCGTGTTTTGAGATTCAGATTACAAAAATTACAAATTCAATTTTTACAAAATATATCAAACCATGCCTTCAGATGTGATTGCTGCTGTTACTGCTTATAAATTGCTATTTATATCAAGCAAAATACAGTCAAGAGCCATCTACCTTCTGTATCAAAACAGCCTGTTTTCCTCATGGGAATCTGAGATGAGAATGTTGGTAGTCGGGAAGGGTTACACTTCTCACTCAAAAATAGAAAGAAAGAAAATGCCTGAAAACTGAAAAAATTAAATGCCAATTTTATCAATGGCCTTTAACATGTAGGCTGAAGGAAGCAGTTTGTAAGCAGTGTATAAGGACAGTCTTGAGAAGAAGTTGCCTGGAAATTTGATTATTTGACAAATACATCAGAGATTATCATTGCTCTGTTATTAATACTTTGCATAATTACTCACAATAAGCTTGATATTGCTGGAACCACAAAAGTCTTAAAATGGAAAATAAAATAATATGAATAATAAGTCAGCTTCCACTCTTGGTACTCATTCAGCCAAAACTTGATGGAAAGATGACATGCTTTTAGTATAACCACTACTTTACCCTTCCTAACAATCTGAACAGTAATTTATATATGTAAATGTGTTCAGTGATCTAGCTAACCTCTAACAGCAATTCAACAATCATTTCACTACTGGACTGAAAAAAAACCCCAACATTTTAACTGAACTGTAGCACAGTTCTGCAGAAAAAAAAAAAATAAAAAAAAAAATCTACATTTTCATGTATATGCTTTATATATTTAAAGACATCTGAGTACACCATGTATAGTGGCACAAGAAAATTGATCTTACCACTGCAGCTGGAACTTGATGCATTTTTGCAGCTGGGGTTCCTGGACGTGGGTAAAATTGATTAATAAACAAACTTGGAAATCTGTACTGTTCAACAAGTTTCACTGTTTCTTGAAAATCTTCATCTGTCTCTCCTGGAAAACCACAGATGATGTCTGTAGCAATTGTTATTCCAGGCACTCTGTAAAGGAAGTAAAAAGGAACACTGAACTAAATATATAAAAGTCTTGCTCCCTTAAAAGCTAGTGTACATAGACTTATAACTCTTCAACTTTAACTACAGAAAATTAGACTTTAAATGATCTTTGGTAATTAAAAAAAAAAAACAACAAACCAACAAACCACTGATTGGCAATGAAAAATGCATTTGGTACTCAGCTGAAAGTATATGGAATAGAAGATACTGCAGAAAATATTGGATTAGGATTGTGACAGAAGAGTGAAAACATCGGGACCACCTTCTCATCCGTTCAAAATAACAGGTAATCGGCAGAGTTTGTAAATGTCTTGAATTCTGATTGCTTAATCCACAAAATTTATAACTTCTGAGACAGCCACTAGAATTTATAAACTATTTAATGTTTTATAATGTTGCTATCAAAGTAGAACAGGACAGCCAAAATAGGGGACTTGCATGCCATATAACCTAGCAATTTTAAACAAAATTGGCTTTGGAGACAATAAGACATCACTTAGTCATGAATTAATTTCTCAGTACTCCAAAAAATCAGTCTGTGCCTTACTTTAAAAGGAAAACAAAATACTTAAGTTTACAAATGCACAGGCACTGAGTTCTCTTGTCATTTAGCAATGTCAGTATTTTCTAACTGTTCCCCCTGGAGCAAATATGCTGAACCCTTACACACAGCAGCTTAAGAGAGCACAGCAAACAGAGAAGCCAACAGATGCAGCAGTCAGTGCAGCAGCACCGACCGAAGGGAGTGCAGTAAAGGGGCCTCAGTTGAAATTGTGCCACAGTTAAGTCTTAGATACAGTGGTAACACATAACTGAACATTTTCCTCAGTTGATACTGGAGCAGTCACCCCTGCTAGGGTTGAGGCTTGCACCCAGACTGAGCTTCAGGTGGTGGATGCAGCCCTAAAAGTGACCCAGGCTGCAAGGAGAACCTGTGGGCTCTCTCTGCGGCCAGGAGAGATGGTCCTCTCCTGCAGAAGCTGTGCTGCCTTGGAGGAGCTGTGTCTCTATGTGGAGGAGGTATGGAAGGAAGAGAGCAGGCTGCACAGCATCAGAGAAGATGAAAGGGAGGTAGAAAGGATTTTCTCTGCAACTCAACAGCTTAAAGAGCCTCAGCCCCCATCTGCAGTAAAGAAGCAGGTAGTATCAAACCCCACTACCAATTGCAGTGAAACCTCTGGTGAAGGAGAAGGATGGAAGCTGGTGACTTCTGACACCAAGAGATCTTGTCACACTTAAGGTCTTACAACTGCAAAATAGGTTCATCACCCTCAAAGTTGAAGAGGAGCTAGATATGCCCACAACCAAAGTATCTTGTCCATCTAATCCCTAAAACACGCAAGACTAACAGGAAGAAAGGGTGAGTCATTGCAAAAGGTGACTCCTTGTTTTGGGGGACAAGGGCATGCAATCTGCCAACCTGGATCAGGGGCCAGGATCTGGGATGCTGTGGGGCTCATCTGGCCCTCTGACTACTACTCTCTACTGTGATTTCATATGAGCACAAATGATACTGCAAATTGAAACCTGGCCAGTATTAAAAATGACTACAGAGCTTGGGGTAGGCAGTAGTCAAGGGCTTGGGAGCTCAGGTGGTGTGCACCTCATCAGAAAACACTTTTTTACTGAGCTCTAGCACACATTGCCCAGGGAGGTTGTGGAGACTCCCTCCTTGGAGATATTCAAAAGCTGTCTGGACATGGCTCTAGGTGGCCTTGCTTGAGCAGGGCAGAGTTGGACAAAATTGCCTCCAGAGATCCCTTCCAACGTCAACCCTTCTGTGATTCTGTGACATGGCCCAGGAACACCTACAACCCTACTAACCCTTGGCCCCTACAACCAAGAGAGTACTGCACAGTATTTACAGACCACTCTATGGGACCCAGGAGACAGCAACTCAGTTTTCCAAACCTGACACTAGCCAGCTGGATGACCACTGTCCTGTGAGAAACTGAAACCACAACACCGTTTTGTATTCAGCCTGCTTGTGTAAATTGGGAATAATGATAAAACTCTTCTGCAGAGAGGCAGAAATGTATAGAGCTCAGAAGTGCTCAGTGCTTTCTACTGACACAGATGAGACTGTTTCTGCAAGACAGGGTTCTGCAAGATAGTTCTACACTATCAGTAACAATGATGAACTGGAGAAAATATGATTTATGAGGAAAAGTAAGAAACCTGTAAACATATTGGTGGTATCTCACTTAAAGCTAGCCCTGTTTCAAGTGGGAAGAATAGGTGAGATGATTTCCAGAGGTCCCTTCCAACCTAAATCTACAGTTCTTAAGTAGGCTACAGGCAAAGGAACAGCTGAGACAGATTCTTTTGCGGTGAATGACATGAAGACCACTGCCACAAGCAAAGGTCACACCTGAGTTTAAGACAGCAGAACTGTAAATACTAATGCATGCAATCCAAATGACATTTATAAAGCATGTGAATGGCCAAAGAGGACTATCATTTCTTATTAGACAATACATCACTGCACAAAAAATAATACTGTGCTTACAGTGGGTGAAGAAACTTGAGTTTGAATAGCTGAAAGAAAAACTTCCTGCAACAATAAGTTCTTACTGGAACAGGAGAACCTGTTAGCAAAAGACCTAAGAAAGGGGAAGCAGGAATATTGTTCTTTGTAATTTGTTCAGGTGCAATATTAAGAGCATGCATAGCTTATATTC